AGGAAAAAAAGATCTGATTTGTAGTGTTTGCAGACTCCCATGGCGTAAATACTCCCACAGTGGCCGATACCAGGCTGCCAGTGAAGTCACTGAACGGAGAGCTGGGCAGCATTGCGTACAACAGGCCCTCACAGGTTGTCAGTTCTGCCTTTGAAGTTAGCGGAACTCTCTGGTAGCCTCCCAATAGCCTCTTTTGGGTTTAGACTGCTCAAGGGGACTGTTCCTTGCAACCAAAATATCTTTAAACTTCTAGCTACCATAACCCCCTTTTATTCTGAAAAGTTAGAGACAATTCACTCAAAGCGTATTCTAACTTCGGCTGATTCTCCACAACCCCATACTTTAAATATTTGTAGCTATTTTCATTTACATGTAAAATTCATATTCGTTTGATCACATGGGTAGTCTTCACCAGGTCCAGATTTTGTTTTTAATCATTGTGGTTGCTTAGAATAACTTATTTTCAGAAATTCCTGCTCTCCAGTGTCCAGCACAGAGAACTGCTCTATCTGTTTTTCTTAGCTGTGAATGTTATAGGAAGACTAAGGAGTCAGTCCCAAGCTTTTGACGTTCATCAGGGACTATTTCTAGGGTAGACACTAGTGGGTATTGTGCATATTGGCTCTTCCATGTATTTTTAATGAAGCTCAAGGACATTTTTACACCAGGATTTCTCAAGCTCACCACATTTTGAGCCAGACAGTGCTTTGTTGTGGGGGCTTTCCTGTGCATTTGGGGATGTTTAGTGGCATTCCTGGTCTTTACCAGTAGATGTGAGTACCAGCCTTGCCCAAGTTGTAACAACCAGCAATATCTTCAGACATTGCCAAATATCCCTGGGGTCAGGGCAGGGGCTGGGGAAGGGAGGTGAAAAATCATGCTGGTGGAGAACCACTGCTCTACACTGATGTAGCAGCTTTGTCTCAGGTATCACTGACCCTAAGCAGCACCGAACCTTCCACAACACTGGTTATGTACCAGGTTAGAGCCTGAGGCTTAGGCTGCACCTCCCAAGTGCCTGTACTGTGTACTATAGGAGGAGAAGTTCCAGGGGCCAGACATAAAAGTATCCAAGTCCATAATCAGATTTTTTCAACGTTTAGTTAAAAAGGCACTTCTAAGCCCTGGCTGGTGTAGCTCAGTGGATTGAGCACGGGCCTGCGAACCAGACAGTTGCGGTTCGATTCCCAGTCAGGGCACATGCCTGGGTTGCAGGCCAGTTCCCTGCAGGCCAATTCCCAGCAGGGGACACACGAAAGGCAACCGTACATTGATGTTTCTCTCCCTCTCTCCTTCCCTTTCCCTCTAAAGATAAATAAATAAAATCTTAAAAAAAAAAAAGTCTTAAGTACACATGATTTCGCACAAGTTTTAAAAAAAAAAAAGGCACTTCTTTTGAGCCTTGATGGGAGTGGATGTGATGATTCATTCATTCATTCATCTTTGTAGATATCTGTTATGCAGTGCTTCTGACCTAGGTAATAGGTGCTGGAGCTGATGTAAAAGCAGACTATGGCCCTTCCTACAAGAAACTAATTATTCTAGATGGGATCAACGGGGATATTGTCAGTCGTAAGAGAAAGCCCAATTCCGACAGACTTAAACAATAATGGAACTTTAGTGGCCCACACATTTGAAAAGCCCACAGGCAGTGCAGGCTTGAGGTAAGGCTGGAGCCAACGGCTCAAGGGTTGTCATCGGAACTGGGTTTCCTTCAGTTTCCCTGCTCTTCCGATTCTATTGTCAGCTTCATCCTAGTGCTGACCCCTCTGTGGTCACCAGAGGTGTCAGCAGATCCCGTTGTGTTTCCTCGTTTCCTGAGGGTCTGAGATTCACGTTGTTTGGACTAGTTTAGGTCCCCTGTCCACCCCCGAATCAGCACCAAAGGAATGAAAGGTGCTGATTAGCTTAGCCTGGACCACTTGCTCCAACCATAGACATCACACAGACTTCATAGAGGAGGCCAAGCATTGCTGGGAGTGGGGAGGAGAGCCACAAATGCTGGGAGAATGTGGAGTTCTCAACCAGCCAAAGGGCTCCCGTGGCCTTTGCTGCTTTTCACACAGGCTCTGCCAGGTGATTTGATCAGTCCCAAGGCTTCAGCACCATTTGTGTGGGTCTTTAAGTCTTACCACAGTCCTCTGCCCTTTACATGTGCCACCTCCCATCTCATCGCCGGCCTACTTCTCAGTGACCCCCCTTCTCTTTCCAAACTCAATTCAGAGTCAGTTCCTCCAAGACTATTTCCACATCACCAGGCAACCTTCCCTCCTCCACACTGCTTTGGCCCATAACTCCCCTGGGCCCTGTATCGCTCAGCTCTTGACTGCTTGTCCAGCTCAGCTATGTGATGGTTTTAGCTCCTGCAGAGTTTTTGGTCTACTCAGTCCTTTAATGGCTGATAAATGAATTGAGAGCTTTTTATGGTGATTTCTTGCATCCTCAAATTTATAAAACAAGATGGGGTGTGTGTGTGTGTGTGTGTGGTGGAGTGGGGAAAAGTGAGGGAAGCAGACTTGGGCTGTGAAAAGAGCAAAGGATTTCAAGTCAGAGAGTCCTGGGTTTGAATCCTAGCTTTGCATCCTTTTAGATCTGAGGTTTTGACCAATGGATCTATAGTTTAACCCTCCTTTCTCTCCTTAAAAGTATCCATTGTATGTAATACATTCATGGTTTCTATGGTATTTCACACTTGTATGATCATGTGTTATTCACATAAGGTACATTTTATAAATATTTGTAACTCTAAGTATTGCCAGAGATATGGTTCCCTCAATAAATCACAAAGACTTTGGCTGGGAGATCAAAGATGAGTCATTCCAAGAGGGAAGAGAATTCAGACTGTTGGGAACCGCCCTGCCTGGTTTCAGGAGCTGTAACCCAGCCAACAGGCAAAAAGGCCCCAAAGCTGGGGAACCTTGGGACCATAAGCCACTAAGGAGATAAAACTTACCCTCCCAGCAGGGGCGCAGCCTCTGCCCGCTTTACTTCACCCTGCTAGGCCCCTGGAGGATGGCTGGATAGTCAATGATGGGTAAGATTCCTTAAGGGAAGAACAACCTCAAGACAGGCGGTTTTGAAGGGGCCATAAGGGAAGGACTTAGGGGATTGTGGAGGAGGGACGGAAGACCCTCACCCCTCGGCTTCATCACAGCCTGAGTCCTCATTCTATCTGTAAAGTCTCCTAATCTCTTGGCTGCCTTACCTCCCCCACCTGATTCAAGCCTGAAACAATGTCCAAGGGAAGTGCTTCCCTGTGTCAGAGCAGGCCATTCTCAGTGGCGGGTGTGGGGTGGGGGCATCAGCCCTAAGAAAGAATGCATTAAGTCCTGTGAAACCTGCTTTGCTAAGAATGTCCTCAACTTAAATGTTAAGGTTCCAAGCACAAAAGTTTGTTTCCCAAGGTTTTACAGCTGATTGGCTTCATCAGACCCTGACTCAAAAGGACCCCGTGATCCCAGAAATATGATCTGTAAGCCACACCTCCCTTCTTTGATGTGCGTCCCTATGCCAGCTAAACTCAGTAAAAGCCCATTGAGAGGCCTGGCACCTTTCTCCTCCGAGCCTGGTCAGCCTTTCCTCCCCAAGATCATGTCTTGGTAGACTTACTCTCATCCCTGGCGGCCAGGGGAACTCTGTGGAATGGAGACCCCTACCCCAACATCAGACCCTTTTTGCCTTAAAGGAGCTTCTCCCCTTCCAGCAGCATGCGACCCCATTAGAGGTGGAGTGGGAAGAGTTGTCCCTTCCCACCTGCCCCTCACCCCTTACACCCTCTAAGGCAGTGCCCTGGCAGAACAGCTCAAATGCCCAGAGGGCTTCTAGCAGCCCTGCAAGCACTATGTGAAGAGTGAACCTGTATTGTTTTGTTCACATGATACATTCAACTAATTTAATGCATTTGGGGCAGGTTTAGCACCTAGAGAGTGGCAAACTGTAGAGGCAGGAAACCTATCTAGTTTTTTAAATATCCTTAGGGCAGAGATGGCCCTTTACAAGTTCTTTAAAGTTGTGTTTGTCTTGTGAAATGAGGTCCTCTGAGTATTTATGGTATCGACACATTTATCCTTGTCCCAGTCCGATTTCAGCTTCAGCTCAGCACTTCCCAGCTGGGTGGCTTAACCTTTCTGAACCTTAGCTGTTCATCTGTGAAAGGGGAATAATCCTCTACTATGAAGACATTATGCCCTGTTGTGTATCCGGTGCACCATACTCCATGAGATGGTCACCTCTAATCTGTTTATTACAAACACCTGTGCCTAGACTGCTGGCAATCCAGCCTTTCCCCAGGCTTCCTTGGCCAGATATATTCCCCAAAGGTCAGAACTAACAAGCCCAGATATAGTTAAGGCCTTGTTTCTCCCTTTGCCCTGGTGCCCAACCCAGGCTTCAGGAACAAGCTATTTTCTACTGGATCTCCCACTGGCAGGTCATTAACTACTTTAGCGTATCACTTTGGAAAGCTTTGAAGGAGCATTTGTTTTAAAAGTTTGCAAACCTCAACTATGTTCCATCTTTGTAATAGCAAGTGCATTTTTAGAAGGACATGAGGGCTTTTGGTAGTCTAAGAATTTAAAATTATAGAATTGACAATATTCTAAACATCTCTGAGAGAAAATGCACAATCTATGACCAGACCAGACCAGAATATACTGAGAAAATAATTTATTCATTTGTAAGCCAGGAATTTTATTTTCTTTTAATGTTTAAGAATAACTATTCATGAGGTTCTTTGTATAGTAAGGGAGGGGACAGGAGGGAGAGAGGGAGAGAAACAAGGATGTAAGAAACATCCATTGGTTGCCTTTCATATGCACCCAGACTGGGGACAAACCTGCAACCCAGGCGTGCGCCCTGACCCAGAACCCAACCAGTGACCTTTTGGTTTGAAGGGTGATGCCCAACCCACTGAGCCACACGGGCCAGAGCTATTCATGAGATCCTGAGTTTGTTCATTTGGGATTTCAATTTAAGTGAAAAAAGAAAAAAACCAAGATTCCTTCAAACGTAAACATCATCTATTTAATCATTCAGGATAGATCATTTCTTTGGTTCAGGATTTAAACCATTAATTTTTCCTACTCCAGAATGTATTCCAGAAAACTTGAGCTAAAGAGAAACAGGTCCTAAGTGACGTGTGATTTCCTTTCCCTTTAACAAAGTCCACTTCTGGATTTTTGGTTGGTTTTGTTTTGTTTTGTTTTGTTGAGTGTGATATTTTTTTGGCAAGAAGCGAAGAGTAAGAGGCACAGTGCAATGGCAGACAAAATAGGTTTTCTTTGCTCAGAGAAGCCTTTGTGCTGCGCATCAAGCCAATGCAATGGTTCTTTAAATAAACTGCTTAAAAATGGAAACAAATGACTTAAACTGGAACACAAGAAAATTATAAATATGTAAATATTGCTTCCTAACTTCCTTTACATTGAATTGCATTACTTTAAATAATATGTAGGATTTCATAACTTCTCTTAGAGAAGGGAATTGAATGGTAAGCTGTTCAGTCATGAGGAATAGGTCTCTTGTTACCATCCCCTCTGCTTTTGATATAAAATCAATTAACCATTTAATTAAATGTGTCTAGTTGTTGTTACACCTCAGTGGCGCAGGGGAAAATGAGGTTACTTGATGGGAGGGCTTCTCTTCCAATCCACTCCTGATGTTAGGCCTCCAAGTAGGGCATGACTGGCTGAGGGACCCTGAAGGTTAGGGCAAGTGGCAGCAGGACTTGCGGAGACTGCTTGTCATGAAGCCCAAGTCTGGGAAAATGTAACTCCTTGCAAGCCTCTTCAGTCCACTGTGGGTCTGTCTTCTCTGACACCAGCTTGTCTTCTGGCCAAGAATCTGAAGGTTCAAGTTGCAGAATCTGGCATACCGAATATGACCTGTGCAAAACGAGAAGCCTCTTCTATGCAAGTCCCCTCTGCTGTAGTTGTCATGGGACAGAGGAGGCTGTAGACCACCCACACTGTCCCTCCCGTCCAGTGCCATGCTGTATTTAAGTGCCAACCCAGGTCCTATGCTCCTCTGAGGCGGCATTGCCCAACCGTAATCAGCCTCCCTCTCTTTCCACCCTGTCTTTGCTATTTCATAGCAAACTCACTTTGAGGCTGTTTTCACTTTCTTTGGATTCTCTGTGACTCCAAACATTCACCACCGTGATATCTATCCACTGGGAATCTCAACCACTCTTTTCCACAGAAGCCAAATATCCTGAGAAAAGGAAAGCACTACAAATGGCCTGAAGCCACCTGCTATGAAACCATGTGAGGATCGCCAAGTAGATGGTGTCTGCCCGTCGAACTCTCCTGCTGCAAAGGAACCTGTGTTGCTCTAGGTTCAGCACCCTTTTCTACCGCACGTTATTTGGTACGTGTAGAATGTTTCTGGCTTTTTCTTTGCCTATGACAATTTTTTTATTCAACTGGTAGTATTTCTCCCAAACCCAGAATAGGTAAGAAATCATTCAGAATTTACACCTGATTCTCCCATAATACAAAGCTCAAAGTTACAAGGAGGAATAGTATGTACTTGCTGGGTTGGTGTTTTTGTTAGTATTTTTTAAAGTTAAAATTGCGTTACTTTTCTGAGGAAGTAGCCAGAATACTCTCCCCAATTCAGGAATCTACTGGCACAATAGAAAGTCAGATATTATTTCTAACCAAATTATACTCTTTTGTCTGCCAAGAGATCTTGACGGTCTTAATATCTGCAGGCAGGCCTATATGATAATCCCAGCAATACTCCGGGGATAAGATTTTAGTTGGTTTGTTACGAAGGAAATACTTGTTGAGGTGGCTTTCATCATGCCACTTGGCTTCTATGTCGTTTTTCTTGTCCTGGAGGATTCCCTTGAAGCACTCCTGAGTGATGTTCAGGACCTGAATGGGCGTTCCTCCAAAAATGGCTGCGTGGTAATAAAAATCCCCTTGGCCATACGGAATGAATGCTGAGGACTCCATCCGCCTCTCATAAGTAAACTCATCAGGATCCGCCTTATAAAACCAGGCCTGTAGCTGAGCCACTGACTGGCCAAGGGTCTCCACCCCAAAGGTGTCTTGGAAGACCTGGTCCACGTCCATACAAAAGAGGAAGTCGACCTCGTGCTGGATGTGGGCCACAATGTGCTCCGCGATGGTCTTCATGCGCATCATGCTGATGTCCTGCCACCTCTTCTCAGGCCTGACCTCAAACACTTTGAAGGAACGCAGAGGACCCAGCTCTATCAAAGGCAGCCTGGAGACATCATCCATCATGATGTAAAATATGACTCTGTGGCCAATCATGAAGTGCCTATTAGCAGATGTTAAGAACTCCTCCAAGTAATGCTCAATGTATCTGAAACAGAGAACAAGATAAAATGTAATCTCTGGGACTCAACAGGAGACTGTGTGCTGCTATTCTCATCATTCTGTTTGTCTTTTGAGGTTTAGGAGTCCTTCCTCATTCCAGATGCAGTACTCCTGACTGCTGTCTGCTGTTCAGTCCACTGCCTTGGGGCGGTGCAGCGACTCATCCGACTGCCAATTTTGGAAAGGCAAGTGTCCGTGAACAGCCCTGACCCCTCCCCTCCTCCTGCTCTTAGACTGACTGGAGATAGTATGGGTACTGTGGGCCTAACAGTACGTATAGTAGTACAGGCCCTACTCCCATGCCTGGAGCCCTGAAATTTCTAGTGCTATAGTTGCCTGGGTCCCTGAGTCTTTCTAATTCTGTGGTTCAATGTTAGGAGGCCTTGGGCCTGTAGATACAAGCCACACTCTCCAATACCAGCTTCAACTGTAATGAAGACTATGTTTACTATCATCTGCCTTAATTAGCCTTTGGGCAGGCAAAGGGGGTGAAGTTTTTTTTTCTTCTCCCCAGCTCCATTGGTATATAACTGACATATAACATTGTGTAAGTTTAAGGTGTACAAGTGTTGATTTGATACACTCACATTTTACAAAATGATTCCACCGTAGTGTTAGCTAACACCTCCACGTGTCACACAATTACAATTTCTTTTTGTGGTGAGAATATTTAAGCTCTACTTTCTTAGCAACTTTCAAGTATATACAGTACAGTATTGTTAACTATAGTCACCATGCTGTACATTAGATCCCAGAACTCAGGCATCTTACAACGGGAGGTTTATACCCTTTGACTAACATCAGGGGGCAGTAGGTCTTGAGCCTCCTTCAAAAACCCCAGCCTACACCCCAATGTTGCTACTGCCCTACCAGATGCAATCATGATGTGACTCTCAGGTCCTCTGGGAAGCATTAAGCCTAACCATCGCCACTCTGGGACCCAGAGAATGGGTTAAAGGACATGGATATCCTTCTATACTGCAGATTCGCCTGTGAGCCTCCCACTGGTCACCCAAAATCCCAATCCATTTTCCAGACACCACCATTTTAAGATTTATTTAAATACCAAAGCAAATAACCTTGGATTTAGCCTTAACTACCTTTTCTTAATTTTTTTACAACATTTTTAGGTTCACAGAAAAACTGAGCCAAAAGCACAAAATTCCTATATACTCCCCTGGCCGCCCCTCCCTCCCACATCTTCCTCCACTTCCAACATCCGCACCAGGATGGACACGTGTTGCAGTCACCGCTCCGAGCCCATATTACATGAAGGTTCACTCTTGGGTTGTACATTCGTGGGTTTGCACAGATGTATAACAATGTATCTATCATTATGAATGGCATTATACAGAATATTTTTATTGCCCCCCAAATCCTGTGTCCCACCAATTCATTCCTTCCCCCACCCCAGCTTCTGGCCACTACTGATCTTTTTACCGACACCATAGTTTTGCCTTTTCCAGAATGTCACAGTATGGAATCATACAGTAAGTAGCCTTTTCAGATTGGTTTCTTTCGCTTAGTACATGCATGCCTCCTCCAAGTCTTTTCATAGCTTAGCTCTTTCCCTTTTGGAATATTGATACTACTGATAATATATCCCTGTCTGAATGAACCAGTTTATTTATCCATTCACCTACTGAAGGGCATCTTGGCTGCTTCCAACTTCTGGCAATTACGAATAAAGCTGATATAAATATCTGTGTGCAGGGTATTATGTGGACATGGTTTTTAACTCCTTTGGGTAAATAGCAAGGAACACAATCGCTGGAATGCATGCAAAGAGTATGTGTAGTTTTATAAGAAACTGCCAAACTGACTTCCAAAGTCTCTGTGCCATTGTGCAGTCCCACAAGCAATGAATGAGAAATCTGGCTACTCCCCAGCATTTAGTGTTGTCAGTGTTTTGGGATTTGGGCCATAGTAATAGGGTGTTCCATGGTTTTTTAGCTATTAGTCTCCTCATTCAAAAAATATCATGTTGATGCCTTCTGTAACCCAGCTACACTCTCTCTTGTGAAGCCATGAAGATCAGTGAGCAGAGGAAGGAGCAGGAAGATGGCTAACCCAGCTCATGCACACCCTGGACTCACGCTCAGTGAATGTGGACTGAACTTAATGGGCTCGCACAGCACCAGCCAATCACGATGTCTTGTGAGTAGTAGTAACTGGCACTTTTCAGTGCGGTTGCTGCTTGGATTCCCTTTCTTTGCTGCCTAATTAAAGGGGTTTTTAATGGTGGCTCCTGGAAACCTAAGGGTCACAGTATTGAGTCTTTAAATGGAGAGCAGAGCATATAGCTGAGCACTATAAAGTAGGGCTTTGATATGGCTCTGTGGCTGATGGCTGGGAAATTCTTTGGTGCTCTGCACCTTTAAGAAGAATCTAAAGTGCTTTGAGGCCAGGAGACAATACTAAGGGGAGGAAGTGAACTACTGCGTGGTTTAATGTAGTTTAGAGATTAAAGCACTGAGGTTGCATTGCTATTTGACAGTAAACCAAATGCCCCACCTCCTAAAAGTCCAAATCCACTGTCCTGAGGATTTATTGCTGCTGATTACAGTCCTCCCCTGCTTCAGATGCAAAGGGCTTTCACCAGGATACGCCATTTATCCTTTAATCCTGCAGAGTTGCAACCGTGAACCAAAAAGGGGTTCTGTGGAACGTAGGCAAGGTGATCTGATATAAATTCCTAACCGGATAGGTCATGGTGGGCAGTCATGCCCCAGACACACAACTTCCTTAGTGAAAGGTTTATTTTCCACTTCAGCTGGTCCTGCCCATTGTTTCTATGCACATAGGTTAACACGCCTTTGAAATATGAGAACTACTCTCAAGGGAGCACACAGTCCTAATTATCCTGTTCCTTGCCTTCTTCCACCATCTTGTACCATATATTGCTGTGTATATGGGCCTTTTTTGCCCAAATTTTTGAGGGGAAAAATAAGGATGTGCATTATACATGGGTAGTACGAATTCCGTATGTATATAAATGGTTTTAATTCTTTTATTTATGCTTATGTGTTAAAAGTGTAACTCTAGAAAACACTAACAATATCCATATGCAAAATAATACCCTGGAATATGAGCATTGGTTTGGGTTTCTAAAAATAAATAAATAAACAATCGAATGAAAAAATTAAAACGAAAGATTTTTTTCCTGAAAGTTTGGGCCCAACACTTGGATGCACATTACACACAGGAGAACCCTATGCACAGCAAAATACAGGTAATTCTTCTTATGTGCCCTCATTAATTTCAAACGCAAAAAAGAAAGTGCAAAATTGTCATTCTCCAGAGCATTTGAGGTCTTACTTCTGGGCAACTGTCATCAGTTTGGGTCAAATAAATTCCTATAAAAATTCTTTGTAGGTTTGGATGTTTCTTTTGCTGACATAACTGCTGGCTGAGGTCACTGCAGGACAGTGGGCAACATTCAGTTCTTCGGAAACATCAGGATCAAATCAGTTTGCATCGTGGCCAGCTTGTCCCCTCTCTTGCCAAAGGATTAGGGGAGCTGAGTGAGCACTGGCTCCCAACTCATAACAACAGAGATTCTTCCCATAAAAGTGTCAAAACTCCAGGGTTACCCTTTCCTGTTAGAGTTGCTTACACAGGTCCCTGGGATCGGCACAGTTGACGACATTAAGACTTAATCGGTACGGTGCCAGCAATGGCTTCTGAGCCCTGGGTTGGAGGAGGACTTTGGGGAACTGTCTGATCCACACAGTGCTCTCCTTTGGGCCCTATGACGGTAAAGCTCAGGCTCAGATTGACCTTGGCCTGCAACCCCTCTGTCCAAGGCTAAGGGGTCAGCTTCCCACAGGGCTTTCAGAAAAGGTACAGGGATGGAAAGGCCAGGATGGAGGCAGGGAAGGAATAGGAAAATTAAACTTTTGCTTTGGAAAAAAAAATTCTCCAAAAGAGCAAAATGAGTTATATTTTAAAACCAAAATTACAAGCTACCAATTTCAAATAAGACCATTGTAGCTTGGGGAGAAACATTCTAAACAGGGAAATGGACACTGAAAGAGGAACCCATCCAACTTCCGGAAGAGGAAGTCCTGGCCAGCCAAACCCCGGGGCCCGAGTCCTCCAGGACCCGGGAGGGCCCCAGGGAGGAGCAGCCAGCCATGTGCTGACGTGGAAACCGCCGCACTTGGGTCCGTCTGGACCAAGCACTTGCTCCAAGTCCTGCTGTCTTTGGTCCTGGGTCTCGGGAGTGTGGGAGGAAGGATGCTGCACACGTGGGCTGTCTAACTGCTGGCATTCTGGGAAATTTCCAGAGAAAGCCACAGGGGCGGGTGGTGCTGCTTGTGGGTGAGCTGTAGTCTCCAGGTTCCGTGGGTGTAGCAGAGACATTTTTACCTGTACCCTGAGTCCCTCCCCTGGAGGTGGGAAGGAGTCGACTCACTGACTCTTGTTTCGTCCTCGTGTTTCGGGGGCCTTAGCAGCAATGACACTGAAATGGTCCCACTGTGACACTCTCCTAACTGATGGTTCAGATGAGTCAGGAACAGCCTCCATTAGCCCAGGGGGACCCTCACAAACACTTGACAGTTGGAACAAGAAGTCAAGCTCAATTTTAACAGTGACACCTACCTTCCGATAGCAAACACTGTCAAACCCACGGTAATTTTCTGTTTGCCATAGTAATTTTCTAAGATGGCTCTGTCGTAAGTGCCTTCCCACACAATTGGCGCCTTCCATCCAGTCACTGTCAGCACCTCTGGCCGCTTCCTGGTGACAAAACACAGAGCCCTGTAAGTGGGGACAGCTTTGCTAAGGTGGGGCAGAGCCTGGGGAAAGCTGGGATTTGTGGTCACTGTCCCTGAATGCCAACTGTAGCTTGACTGCATATGGGGCTGGGTCCCCATCTGAGGGGCTGCATGTTCCGGCAGTGGGACAGGTGGCCCCGGTGCCTCGGAGGGCTGTCTTGGGGGCCCTTATGACGATCTTACCTGCGTATCTCATGCCCTCTTTCCTTTTTCCTACTTTTCTTGTTCTCTTTCACCTCTCTTTCCTAGTTCCCTGGCATTTCCTAAACTGCCAGTGGCATTTATCCCTGAGTGTTATTTATCCCTGTGGGTACCATCCGAGCCTGAGAAGGTCCTGATCCTTGGCAGGGGGATGAGAGAGTGATACTGAGCGGAAAGAGAGAAAACTGTTACAATGTGCCTTTTACCAGAGAAGGATGTATGAGTTAAGAACCTGGTTAGAGGCCAGAAATGGCCCCAGACTAGGAGACTCTGGTGTTATCATTTATTCTACACCCAAAGAGACAGGGTCCCCCAGAAAAGAAGGGACTCGGCAGAGGCCCCACAGCCAAGGCCAGACACCTGGCACAGACCCCTCCGCAGCCTATGGGGCCACGTCGCTAGGGACCCGAAGGGAAGCGGAAAAGCGTGTTTTCTGCACTCAGAACACTTGAAAGGAACTTGGCAAAGCCAACACAAACACAGGAAGCAACATCAGAGCTCCAACAAACTGTAAAGGATAATGCAGAGAAGCCGAGCAGCAGCTGGGGCCCAGCACGAGGGTGTGACTCAGCCCAGAAGGGGTGGTGGGGACTCGCTCTGACTCCCCTTGGCTCAGGAAGTGGCTGCATTTCCCCCACGGGGGAGCCGAGGCTGAGGCACAGTCATTTAGATTTAAACCCCAGCACGCAAAGGCCTGGCTACAGGTGGGCATTTGTTTGCACTTCATCCGCTGCAGGGAGAAGGCCAGTGTTGGGGGCAAGTCCTGGTGATCCCCTTTGTCAGGTTGCGGCGGGCTGTGTGCCTGTGGCCCTGGGGAGGCTGCCGGGGAGATGTTAGCACCCAGAACCTAGCAATCAGGCCAATGAGAACTTCCCCTCCCATCACACATGGGTGGAGGGCAGGTTTCCACTCAGCAAAGCCGGCTCTTTCCTCAGTGAGGCTGGGCAAGGCTGGGTCGACCCCACCTTGCCCCAGCTGTAGCCCCAGAGAGACAAAGAGCCTCGAAGACTTGTCTTCATACCTCCTGTCCCTCTGTCGCCTAGCTCTGCACTCTCATTCTTGAGCCGACTCTGCCCTCCCACCCCAGCCAGGTGCCCTGCTTCCTTCCGCCCCCAGCACAGCCAGAGTTGCCTCCAGGGATGTGGGACACCCTCAGGCTGCTCTCCTGAACCTGTCTGGTCTGGAGTCTCCCAGTGAGACCCAGCTCTGCCCTCGCACCCAGGCGTGCTGGCCGCATGGAGGACAGCTCCTCCGGAGGTGCACCGACCTCCGCCAGGCAGCCTCGCACCACAGCCCGTTCTCTGTCGGTCCTTGCAACTGGCCTGCCACATCGAGGCTCAGAAAGGCTTGTTAACTTCACTTGCCCATCACGGCTGGCCACTGATGACAGTAACACACACACCGAGTACCTCCATCCTGGGGAACCAGGCACTCTGCTAAGGAAACTAGCACAGAGAGGTTAAATAATTTGCCTGCGGTCACATAGCCAGGAAGGGATAAAGTTGGGGCTTGAACCCAGATAAGCTAATTCTGTAGTCTGTGCACTAAGCCACCATCCTGTATCACTTCCTATGTGGACAGTTATGCGCTATGCTGATGTAGCCAGGGTTAAACCCTGGGTCTGTCATTTTGCCACCCAACTTAGCTACATTAGTAGTTTTATTACTGCAGGATGCTTGCGGGGGAAGGGCAGGGGGCAGAGGATGAGATCAGCTTCCTGGACGAACCTCTGTATCAAGACAACTTAGTCATGAAAACCCACAAACCTCCCCGCCAAAAAAGAAGGGACAGATGACAGGCCACATGTGTGTAAGAGCCTTTGCTGCTCTCAACTGCCAGAGATGTTCAAGATCGCTAAGGTGGGGCTCCAAAAGGAGGGAAAAGTGCTGCAGGAAAAGACTCGGAGCTGCCCCCCAAAACCTCCCTTCCAAGCAGGTCACCCACCATGTTATGCTGGCTTGTGTGGAACCAGAATGGGTCAAAGGCTTCCCACGAGATAAGAGAGGGTCCAGAACCCAGACCCACACCTGCTTGGGATATTGGTAGCTTTTTAAATTTATGTACTTATTTCTGGGAATGCCCTGGTATCTATCCAAGGGTTGGGTGGAGGGAGGGTTAACATTCTGTGAAGTTTACGTTATCCTGTTCCTTGCCTTTGTTGTATCCACAACAAAGATGTGGCATGCATACCACGCATTGTTTACTGAACTCCTAGGCAGCAGCTGCCAGGGAGGATCCGGCAAAGAGCCTCTGGTGAAAGGAACACGGGCGGTGGCTGTGAAACGCACAGAAGACGACGACAGTATGGGAAGAATTTTGGAGGAAGAATGAACAGAACACATTAGAGAATCAGACGGAGGAGCAGATGGCGGAGAAGACCGAATCGGAGCGGTGTCTCAGACTCTGGAGCCTGAGAGGGGAAGTCAGAAGAACCAGGGTGGGGTCGGATCATGCGAGACGTGCAGAGACATCAAGCAGGCAGCGAGAGCAGGCTCGGCTGCAGAGCTCCCCGTGGGAACCATCCGCACGCCGACGGCGCCTCACTCCCTGGAAGTGGTGAGAGGGCACTGGGAGGTGATGCACACCGATGAGGTATCAGGGCGCTGGACTCGACCCTCAGAAGCTCTGATGAGCAAAGGCTGGGGAGGTGGAGAAGCCCCTCGAGGAAACTAAGAAGGGAGAACCGAAAAGCAGGGGGAAAACTGCCAGGTTCTGATGTCACAGAATCTGAACGGACTCGATGTGGGAATGTGGACACAATATCCTGTATGTTTTAGGTAGTCTACAGAAAGGTACACATTTGTGGAAGTATATTTAATCGTTCACTCAGTTGGTGGTCTGATCACTCACTTCTGTGAGATGTGCACTCTGGGGGCCCCAAGAAGGCTTAATTTGGTGTCACTTCCAACCAATATTCAATTCTTTAAATTCAGTTCTTTAAATACCTGCTCACCGTTGCTTCAGAGAGAAGCCGAGCTATGCATGCGGAGAATGACAGCTGGTGGCTGTCATCTGTCCCTCCTCTTTACCCCCAGCAATTCAGCCCTAACCCCACCACCCAAGTCCCATTCGGGAAAGCACAAGTGTCACAGTAAAAGCGTGCCACCCTCCTTAGAAGGGAGCCTGGTGACCATCTCTGGCTCATCAAGCCTGCTCCTTGGGAGGTCTTAAGCCCCTCACCACCACCCCACCCCCCGCCACACACACACACATCTAAGGGGCTTATCAAAGCAAGCATACTCTAACATTTCCAGTAATGGTAACATCTCGCAGATGGCTACTCTTGTCCAACTGATCATATGACACATGGGAATCCCAAATTCCCATCTGCCCTCACTGGCAGGATCCTGTATCCCAAAACAATAAAAGAACTTGCCAGAACATACTCAGTTTTTCCAGAGTCCGAGGTCCCTCACATTGGAACGGCTTCTCTCCCACCCTCCTACCACCCCTACAGCTGTGTCTCCCACTTCTCTTCCTCCACCCACCCTCGACATGCTGACGTCAGGCAGGACTCAGGTCTGTCCCTCTGCCTGGGTGGCCTCATCCAGGCTCACAGATCCCACTGCCACTTGTACTCTGAGGGCTCCCCACCCTCCGTCTTCGTATCTGCTGCCGAGCTCAGGCACTGCTAACAGATGGGACTGTTCCCCGCCAAATGTGTATGTTAGAACCTAATCCCCATTGTGGGGGTATCTGGAGGTGAGGCTTTTGTGGTTACTAGGTCATGAGGATGAAACCTTCATGAATGGGATTAGTGGCCTTATAAAGGAGATCCCAGAGAGCTCCCTCCCCCCTTCTACCATGTGAGGACACAGTGAGAAGATGGCCAGGTATGAGCTAGGAAGTGGGTCTTCCCCAGACACCAAATCTGTTTGTGCCTTGATCTTGCACTTGCCAACCTCCAGAACTGTGACGGAGAAGCTTCTTGTTTATCAGCCAGCCAGTCTATGGTATTCTGTTAAGGCAGGCCAAAGAGGCCGAGACAGGCACCCTGTGAATCTCCGTCTAGATGCCCCCACGGACCTGAACTCACACACATCCCTCACTGGCTCATCACCTCCCCTCCAGGCCCTTTCCTGATGGGCGGCACCCCCCACTCCCACACAGCCTCTCGGGCTTCATGGTCGTCCTGGACAGCTCCTGCCTCCTCGCTCCCCAAGCCACATCCTTCTAAGTCAGGTTCATCATACCTTCTTTTACTGGTCTTGGCAAGTGCCACTCTAAGACCGTGAACTTCTTGACTATACCCACATTGGTGAGACTGGAAGACACACAGGTGACCTACAGATGACTGATTCTTCTGTTTACTGTGTCTAACTCAACGTCCAGTGCAGAACATGTGAGCACGCTTCACAGTGGGAAATACACTTGACGTCACACCCAAACACATGCTCATATACATACAGAAACAAAAATTCCACTGAACAGCACATCCTTCCCTCATGTGACACCCTCTGATTTTCTATTTAACTTCAGTTTTTTGTAAAAAAGCTGGTGTTAACCCTTTACACTAAACATATTGATGATAGTGACCAGTGGTTTGAAAGACACCAGCTGGCCTGTCACAGACGTTTGATAAACATCTGTTTATGGGTGCTGAACGGTGCACACATGGTCCCTCAGATTTGGCATCATCGTTGCCATTTTACAGATGAGTTAACTGAATCTTGGAGGGAATTTTCTTGTCCTGACTCTGGATCCTGTGGCTCGTCACAACACGCCTCGGCCAGTAAGGCCCCTCCTGGCCGCGTATTTTGTGACTCATCTGCTCCCATTGGCTGGTTGCTGTCAGTCACCATGTTACAGCTCCAGCATTTGAGTCAGAACATCTAGACTCTTAGTTTCTCATTGAATCTGTTGTTAAAGGTCCAGCAGAGGCCAGGACCCTGTCTCCCCACTCAGGGGTGTTCCCAGCGGCACAGTCGCTGACACGGCCCCCCGCCACCTCCGGCTAAACCGTGGATTTATTGAGGGCAACGCCCTTTCTTACTGTGGATTAAACCAGTCCGACAGCTGAAGCTCTTCTTCGTCTTCCTTCTCTTTGTTTTTGTCTTCTTCCTCTCGGTAATCGTGGGTCCTACATACAAAGGGAAAGCAAGCTGAGTAACGCAGGGAGGGCTGTCGACTGTGTGGGGACAGTCAGTGAAAACGCGTCTGGAGGCAGGAACACCTGCAGCAAGTGACTGGGTTCATGACACTGGCTGGTTGTTCACAAGGACGTGCTGAGGGTTAAAAGGCACAGCACCTATTCTTTTTGTCCTCCGTCCAAGTCAGCACAGTTAGCAGTTTAATGGCCCAGCAGCCCTCAGATTATTTGGGGAGGGGGGGGAACTTGATGAAGCAGTCCTCATAAGAACATTTTATCTTATGACAATCTTTCCTGCAGTCTGAACTTCAGCCCAAGCCCCACTCACCCCCAACTTAAATGGAAAAAACCAAACCAAAAAACCTTTAATGTTCTAGTTCCAACCACGAAGTAGATACCTTGTATGATTTCAATAGGCCAGAGAGATGAATGGCCGAGAAGGTCATGACCATGAACTGTCTCCCTGACTCCGCAAGCGTTCAGTGGGGGAAGCACAGACTTTCGTCTCACCCCGTACCTGTTGTTAAACCACCTCGGAAACCACCAGCCCTGCTGACTGCCGCTGTCACCAGGCTCTGGGCTTCTAAGAAACAAAAGAGATGAGAAACATTTTTAGAAAATGAGACTGTCCCAAACTGGGGGGTTTTCCAAACTCTTTTCATGACAGAAAATCATTAAAAATTTTACTTTAAACTGCCAGCTGGTAGAACAGACAGGAGTGAAGCTGCTCCGGCAGAAGGAGCGGAGCCGGGCCTGACGGTGCCGGATGGACCATGCCTCCCCGGGGGGCCCCGGCCGGCAGCTCAGCTCCTCATCCCGGGAGAAGGGCAGGAGAGGGGAGAAGAATGACAGACATCTTCCTCCTCTGAATCTTGATTTTTCTCCTCCAAAAAGTCACATAATAATACTCACACGGGTTGAGGCAAAAGTAGGTTTACAGTTGTTCGTATGGAATATAGTACAATCATTAATGAACAAACTGTTTTGTGTACTCACAATTGTAAACCTTTTGCCCAACCCTACATAATAAATAATAATAATAATAATAATAAACCTACTATGCAGGTATCTTTGAAAACTAAGGGAAATAGCATACATCAAAGAGCTTTATAAGTTGAAAATAACTAATGAGTTGTGATCTTAATAAAGCGACCAGCACACCCTTCCAAGAATGATGTCTTCTGCTGAACGAGGAGAATGCAGGCTGCCACAAAGTCAGCAGCTGCAGCCTCAGGAAATCTGAGGGTCCCTGAGCCAGAAACTCCAGAACCTGTTACCAGAAACCACCTTCCCTACCCACATGCGGAAATTTCCACACTTGTCATGAGAGTCTCCCCAAGGGAGGGGCCTTCTGGAGATGGGAAAATAGGGGACACCAATAGATAAGGCCTTCCGGTTGGACAAATTTGAGTGGTGAGCCATGAACAGGCATTAATAAATCTGTTTGAAAGCTCATCTCCTTTCAGAAAGTGTTCAAGATGGTTCATGATTAAGAAAGTATGGTTACAGTAAGCAGAGAAACAATACAAGAGTACAACGAACAAAAGGGAACAGAGAAACATTTACTTAGTCATTCAGGTAGGTATTTTCACATGACCTTGGTCATCCCAGCAACACGTGAGAATAAAGGTTTTGCCTTTATTTTCATTTGTAGCTAAAATATGACTGAATGGGCTTGGGAAAACTGCCAAAATCCCATGGCACTCTGCACACATAAAAGCTCAGATTTAGTGCCAGGGGATAAACTCTACCAGAAACGAAGGCCGAGGAAAGTGCAAGCGGTTAAAGCACAACACTTTGCTCTGAGGTTTCTGGCAACCAAGCCAAAGACAGAAAAACAAAGGCTTACATAGTTCTTACTGCCAGTAATAATAGTGACAATAGACCCACAAGTTCATCAGAGTCCCTAACTTTTTTTTCATGACCCTTTGTCTCCAAGAAATTTCTCGGAAGAATATACAGCATATGCTGGGCAGCATAAGGGACACTATCTACCCTGACACTTTTTACTGGGAAGGCAGGAATGCTCTCCAACTGACATCACTTAAGAGATAACTTCATGAGAAAAAGCAAGGGCGAAACACAGCCATGGTTCTCTAAGGGCTGCCTGGGAGGCCAGAGGCATGCGGCTGCCGGGACCCCCAGGAAGCCCCACCCTGCCCTCCGCCTCTGACCAGAGCCCCACCGCCAGCTGCTGCACAGGCTGCAGGAACACAGGCTGCAGGAACACAGGCTGCAGGAACACAGGCTGCAGGAGGTGCGGTAGTGGTCGTGGGAGCAGTTCCAGAGCCATCTAAAATTCAAAGCACTTACTTTGAGTGATATATCCACAAGAAAGAGCCTTCTGGGCTAAAAGCAAACAAGAAAGAAAAACATATCGAGTTACTTTTCATTCTGAGAAAAGCTATTTTTCAACCATTACGGCCTGAGTTGAGAGCCTTGTTTTAGCTACTCAGGTTTCCACCTTCCTTGAGATACAACCAAGGACCTTGGGAGACAGGGATGTTCTGCTGCAGCCACCGCAGTAACTCCCCACAGCAAGGAGGTCTGTGGAGACTCAAATCTGAATGAAAAGGCGCCAGCTCTTCACTGTGGCTTCAACAAGAAGAGGTTCACAGGTGGGTCCCCTCCCAGGACCTCCTCAGGATCACCATAGCTCAGCCATCCTTCACATGGGACCTACTGTCCCTCAGAAAACAGGACAAGGAATGACCGCAGAGCCTAAGGCCGCATCCAGGTCGGAGCTTTCGAGACGCCGTGTTCCTCATCCAGAAGCCTCCTCGCAGGGCTGCTGGAAGAGCTGGAGGCTGTGCACACAGGTCCTGGCACACATCGACACTCGTCACTGGTAGCTGCTGCCATCACAATTGCCATCGCCATCATCCTTTCACTTAAACTTTCCACCAGCTCTGAAATTCTAAGATCTTTTTTTCATCCGGCCTCAAACCAAATGCAGTCCTGGATGACATTCTTTCAGGATGCGCAGCTGAGACCAGTCGATGTATTTGGTGAGGTTATTTCAAAATTCTTTCTAGCCTAGCACTGATCACCTGTCTAAGGTTGGTGCTCTCAGCTCACCTTAAATAGCCAATTCACAAGGTGGCAAAGGACCTGCTGCCTTCCAAGCCCCTTGCGGGTATTCAAGCAGATTCCTCACAGTGAGTCACAGTGTGGCCACAGTCTGGGTGCACAGGGCCCTGGAGAGCAGCCAGCACCTGCTCTGGTCCCCGAGCAAAGACAGTGTGCCCAGGACTGTAAAGAGACCCTCTCTGTGGAAGGCCAATGCCAAAATGCACATTTGTGCCTTTGGCTCCATACTTTAGTTTTGTGAGCCACCCAAAATACGGAAGCACAATTCTGGCTGCAACTCAGAAGACCAAGGTTATCCAGGCAAGCAGTCGCAGCTTGAAGGTTATCCACACAAGCGTCCCAACTCAGGGCAGGTCCCACAAAGGGAACTTGTTCTTCTGCTGGATTCTTCCAACTGCTAGAGCTCTTCCTTCAAGCCGCCAAAATCCCCTGTCCTGGTCTGCTGTCTAGGGCAGAGGGTGTTGGTAATAGCCATGATGAAGATGATGGTGATAAACACGGCAGCTAGCACATCCCGAGTGCTTATTAAGTTCCAGACATTGCCCTAACTGCTTTATAAGCAATAACTAATTGAATCCTCCCAGCAATCCTGTGATGCAGGTACCAAATTATCCCCATGTTTAAAGATAGGGAAGAGGAGGAACAGAGTGGCCATGCAAGTTGCCCAAGGTCACGGAGGAAGTAAGCGGTGTCCAAGGACCAGCCCCGGCAGCCGGGCTCCAGACTCCAACCAGGGTATTTCCTCAGCTTTGAGTCCCTGAGGCAGGCTCGAGGTCCCTTCGCCCAACTCCGGTCCGGCTACACTCCACACCAAGTATCCCACCAGTCTTCTCAATTTGAAAGATCTGGTTAGCTGACCCCCTACCTTGGTCACACTGGTGAGCTGTTCCGAAGGAAACGGAGAGATACTCCAGAAGCAGTTAGATCTATGCAGTGCCCCGGGGTCGGGGTGGGGTGTGGTGTGGTGAACAGCTCCCAATTCTGGAGCAACTCTCTTTTTCCTGATGCACCTCAAGGTGCAGTTCCCTTTTTAGTAGCCAAGATGGTCCTGTTGGCTCATCAAGTCTTAGAATTTAAGAATTGGAAGACCCTCAAATGTTCATTCAGGCTGTCACTGTGAACTTGGTGGCTACTTAAACACTGCACCACGACAATGTTAATGGCGCCAAGACCGCCCTCCCCACCCAGAGGTATACAGTGGATTTTTTGGATGAACTACACCAGTGCTTTTTTAAGTCAAAGGCATGGCGCATTTTTGTAGCTGCTTGTGGAGACTTCTTTCTATCAGAAGCCTTTCCAGCTGGAACCTGCAAAGCATTGTAGTTCCCAAAAGCACAGAAGCAGCTTTTGGGGAATGCACCCAGAAACGTTTAATTCACTTTGCTTCCAGAATTTAAAAAAGAAAAGTTTTAGCCAGGCACACATAAATCAGCAGCAACTCGAGTGTATTTTGCAGCAAAAGTCAACAACTTGAGTTGCTCCTTTAAACTCTGCAAATATCAGAATTGCAAAAATCAGGATGGATTTCTCATGGCATTTGTGTCGGAAACTCCTTAACCTAATTCCTATATCTGGCCATATGAGTAACTTTAAATTACATTTTGGGCTTAATAAGACCTTACTATTCCTGGATCTAGCCTGCCCGGAAGTGCAAGAGCACAAAAATCAAGACGTTAGGAACGTGGCAGGAAGACAGGTGATTAGCCAGAAGGTACTTGGAGCTCCGATGCTTTGAAACACAGCTCGGCCTTGCACTGAACTAACGAGGAGGATGGGGACAGACTCATAGATGGACAGCTGGACGACTGGTGGTTGGCGGAGGTCAGGGAGTGGAGGGATTGAGCAAAAAGGAAAAAGGACTCACGGACATGGACAACAGTGTGGTGAATGCTGGGGGGAGTGGGCATAAGGGGACTAAATGGTAGTGGAAAAAAATTAAGATTTAAAAAAATGAAGACAGTTCAGGGCTCAGGGATATAGAAAAGGTGGAATCTCTTCTTTACGGTTTCAGGGAAGTCTGCCTTTAATTCAGCCTGGTGGTTTGGCTGATACTAGGAGATCAGAGTAACTTTCACCAACATCAGTTCATCGTGGTTCATAATTACCTGTTGATATATTCCCAAAACACAACAATTACAGTTGAGATAACCAGCATTGACAGAACCAGTTTTCCTTTGACATTCATTATTTCCTCCTGGAAAAGAAAAAAAAGACGAGGAAAACAGACTCAGTAACTCCCGAGCAACATATGATCTTTAAAAACTGCAGCTACCTATACACCCTCTCTCAAAGGAAATGTTCATGAGTGCGTAATTAGACCTAAGGAGTGTGCTCTACCTGAAACTGCACAGGGCTGCAACGGCCAATTAGACCAGTTCGAGGAATCGACAGGGCTCTTGTGTTGGGTATGATGCTAAGGCCACTCTGGGGCTCAGAGGGAAAGTACCCAGATGATCGTGAGGTCCACCATGGATGGGAGGCGTGAGGGAGTAACTGTAAATGGTTCCCATGACCGCCAACTGCCTGAACTCAGATCACCCACCTCTCAGCAAATGACAGGGGGGACCATTCATGTCCTAGCTTTGCTTCCCTTCATACACTGACCACACGGCTGGTGCTCAGAGGGGGAACCACTTGGGCCTCGGCAGTCTACACTCACCCACTTCCCACCCCACCTGGCTTTTCCCCTCCACACCCCCAGCAAGCCAACAACTGGTGTATAGTAAGCACCGGAGTATTTCTCGATTGCTGCATTAGTTGTGGTTGAGGGGGAAGGGTGCTGGGTGGGGAACAGCAGGTGGGGAAGTACTTTAATTATGGTGGCCAGGGAAGGCCCCATTGGGGAGGTGACTAAAGCTGCCCAAGGAGTGAAGACAGGATGGAAAGGGGTGAAGAGCCGTGAGTCAGGATGAGAGTATTTCAGAACAGCACCTATGACAGCCTGACAGGAGACAGAGCTTCTCGTGTTTGAAGAAAAGACAAAAGAAAAAGCCTGCATAAGAAAAAAAGAGTGACGTTCTTTCACCTGAGTAGCTGGAACAAGGGCGGGGTGGGCAGGGCAGAGAGAGCCTGGGAAGGCACGACAAGGGGGTGGGGACCCACGAAAGCACCTGAAGCTGGGATATCGCCTGCTCCGACTGCATTCAGAGACCCCAGTGGGTGCTCCGGAGTGCTGGGGCAGGGGATGAGTGTGGGGACAAGGGCAGACGCAGGGACGTGAGGGGCAGGCTGTTCCCATGGCCAAAAAGAAGGGGTGTCCTTGCTGAAAAGGAGGAGAGGAGGTGGAGAGAAGTCAATTAATTCCTATACTCTGAAGAGAGAATTGATAGGATTTGGCTGGCAATTTAGACATCAGGGATGAGGGAGAGGGGAGAAGCAAGGGTAGGTTGCAGCACTGCCTTGGGTGGGATGGAGGAGGACCAGGTTTGGGGGTGAGAGTCACGGACTCCGTTTTGGATGTGTTAGTTTCGAGAAGCATGTGAACATCTAAATGGAGGTGGCAGGTCTGAAGTTCACTGGAGAGATGTGGGCGGGTCATGCAACTGGAGGCATCGTGCACATTAGGGTGAAGGGCAGGAATTCCATCACCTAGGGAGAGGATGCAGAGGGATGGATGTAAAGGAAGGAAGAGGGCCCTGGGCTGAAGTGACACTCAAAGGTAAGATGGAGAAGGAGGTGAGGAGAGGGCCAGGAGGCAGGAGAAAAAGCAGGAGGGCGGACACCCAGAAGCCAAAAGGAGAGGGCGGCCCGCTGTGCCATTCATCAAACATCATGGGCCTTTGTGAAGCCACTTCCTACCCCTGCCCCGTCTCCCCTCTGGCTCCCCCGTCACTATCACAGTGCCGTGCACATCCCCGGGAGGCGGCTCACACGGCAGCATCCACACTGGGCCCGGTCTCCTCCCAGCCGGTCTGAGCTTCCCCAGGGCCGAAGGAGTGTCCTACTCAATCCTGAATCTCCAAGACCTCTATAAATGTTGGGTGAGCAAATTACATAAGATGAAAGTGACACTGAAATTCGTCTTTTCGGGAGAGGGGATATTTTGCAACTCTTCTCAAAGGGGGCCTCCCACGATTCCAGTCCTGGACCTCGTGCTACATCACTTTTACTTTAAATTCAGTGAAAGGACATGGTTATCAGCCATGATGCTCTAGTCCTCCTTGCTTAGAAAGTGCGGCCTGTTTGGAAACAGAAAAACCCGTACGGAACTCAAGGTCACAGCTCCATCAGCGTTCAGATGCGCCTGTGCTCCACAGGCACCCGAAGGGGGCCCGTCGGGCCGGGTAAACCTCGCTCCTGAGTTTCTGCCCATTGAGGACCTCGGGAGCCCGTTGAGGACCCTGGGAGTGGGCTGGCCTGGGGCCTGTGGCAAAGTCACAAAATGCAACAGCACGCAACTCCACCCCCGTTGGAAAAGCCACTTGAAGTCTCCATCAACAGCACTGGCACTGCGTACCAGAGAAGTCCTGGGTTTAAACAGATCAGGATTGAGATGGCAGCCACCTCTCCACACAGAAGTCTTCACTCCCGGAGAAGAGAGAGTAACCAAACCCATGGGCTTTGGGGTGAGGTGGGGGCTGGACCCCCGGCGCTGATGCGCACGCAACCAGGCAACCCTGCGCGTGTGGCAGTCCCTCATCCACGTCTCCAGAAAGCTCTGAAAACCAACAAACCTTTTTGTCATTCAGTTGACCCTGTCGTGAGGCTACTTACAATCCTTACCCCACTTAGTGAGACTGTTTAAACACTTCTTTGCGTAAACACGCTGCATGTTATCGTTTGGTGCTGCTGCACTGGGAGTGTTACATAATGTATGATCTACAGTCCATGCCTCCTGCCTTCCAGGCCCCACGGTTCCAAAAAAGGGATTGCGGGTTTGTTTCCTTGTCTCTAAAATGGAGATAAAAATGGCCATGATCGCATGAGATAAGGTCCATAAAACGCTTAGCATTGGGCCTGGTACCATATAAACATGGAAAAACTGCTCGTTCTTATTACTAGTGTCCACATGGCAAGCTGTCGGGAGGACCCCATGCTGTAGCACAGTGGCTGGTATTTAGCCAGAGCTCAAAGCACATTTAATGGACAGAAATGAGGGTGCTGGAAGAATAACACACGAAACAACAAAGTGCAGGGAGATGCAGATTAGCGGCTCTGAAGGCTATCCATCTGCTCCCGGCCGCAGCATCACAAAGAGCTCGCGGAAGTGGGAGGAGGCTGGTTTTCTTTGATGGAGGCGAGGGCCCTGCTACAGGGCCCTGCCGGTCATGGTGCAGAGGAGGCCACCACGCCGCACAACGTGGGCCCCAGGCTTTATCAGTCCCACCTGCGGAGGATCAAATGCAATTGTCCCCCAGCGGAAAAAATGTTAAATGGAGAAACATGCAAACTCTCACCGTAGAAAACATCAAGACTACTGCCAGGAGGGGCTCCAACCACACACATCTCCTAATGGCCGCCCATGCAAAGCGTTCATGATTTTTCATTTCAGAAATTCGCATGAGGCGAATTTCTTCCTGGACTTCCCAGATGGCTTGACCGGACTTTTGCTGTGGCCAGTCGTCACTGTTGTTGGGCACTTAGGACTGGAGGCTGTCCACATAAGCCAACATCACGTCCTTTGGCGAAGCGCTAGAAATGGGTGTGGACTTGCTTCCCGGGATCTGGAATGCACGTCTCCAGAGACGGAGGGGTTGCCAGGGTGGCCAACAAGTCTTTAAAAGCATTTTTATATTTCTCTCTGGACAAAAATGAGGCATCTGGCAGCCAGCGTGGTCTAAGTCTTTCTCCTATGTGTTTGTCTCTTGGAATTTTCAAAACTGCGAACTTCTGAAGATGGGTGGTTGACCGTCTTAGCCCCCAACTAGGAAACAGCAGGTTGCTTCTCAATTCTCCACTTAAGGAGCAGAGCGCAGAATTAGGACGCCAAACACTGACACCCAGACTCACGCGGGAACCTGGAACTGGCGACCCTCAGGACTTGGTGAACATACCACGCCCAGTCCTAGCAGAGCCCTCCCACCATCTCTCAGGTGCCCCAGGTCCCAGTGCTCACGGTTTCTCCCTGAATCCATCCAACCTCCCACATGGGCAGCTCCTGGGCCCCTCCCAGAACTCGGCCCCCACACAGGTTCCCAGACGAAACCACCTGTCACGCAACCCTCTCCCGGAACAGTGCTGAAAACCTGGGGTGCGTTTCTAAGGGCAGGGCCACCTTGTAAAGCCTGTTAACTTCTCTGCCTTCCCCGCTTCCCTTTCCTCCTCTTCCTTTTCCGCTGTGTTTCCCTGGAGTGTCACTTTTCCATGTGGCTCATACATTAATTCTTCCTCACCTGTCCCATAAAAACAACACACACACACACACACACAACAACAACTTGAGTCTGGGCTAAGTGAGGGTATTGCTTCCACACAGAAACCCTCTCTGAGAGGAGTTCTATGGAAGGTGGACCCCGTTTTCTCCATCTCATGTCAGGGGAAGGGGAGCGTCTCTGCTGAACAGCAGTGGAAAAGCCATTAACTCTGAGAGCGGGATCTGCAGGGGGAAAGCAGTGGCAGAGGAAACCCAACCTTCCTCTCTGCCCGTCTTTCCCCGCCACCCCGCCCCCATCCCGTGCCCCTGCTTGCTCCAGCCTCAGCCACTCCTGCATGATTGAGAAGGGGGTCAAAGACTCTGAGTGACAAGTACTGAGTGCAGGTAAAGGGCAGGGGGGCCACAGGAGCAAACTGGGTGTTACAGCCCCTGGACAAAACGCCTATCTTCTGTCCTCCACACCCTCCAGCGTTCAGATCTATCATTCGGGGGAGGAATCAGGCCAGCACTGACTCTTAAAGCAGCAGTCCCAGCCTAGGGCAAGTCCTCTGACCCTGTGAACTCGGTTTCCACGCACGAGCACCCTCCTCCGGGCGCCCTGAGAGTTCAAGAGGAGACCACGTGTATGGAGCGCCCTGCGCCGTGGTCAGTGAATGCTCCACAGGTGGCTCTGAGGGCGGAGAAGCAGCTTCACCTGGGAGAGGTGTGTGGGTCCCTGGGGGCGGCACCACCCAGACGCAAAGGGAAAGCCTCCCACCGCCCCCACTGTGACTTCGTGACAGTCAGCTGCCCTCCCACTGTCCACGGCTCAGGACCCAGCTGGGTGGGTAAGAAGCCAAGGCTGACCAGCCCCACCTTCCACCAGAGCAGGTGTTGCAAACTGGGCTCATGGAGGTCTCTGGCCTTAGTCTCCCCATCCTTGAAAGAAGTCACCCAGACTTATCTTTCCATGACAGGCTTTCCTGATTGACCCAGGACGTGCAAGAGAAGTCAGCCACTGGCTGGAGGTCTCGTTATACGCCACCCAGAGCACATCTTACTGCAACAGCCTCACAGATTCCTTAAAGTGATGATCAAATGAGGTTACCCACCAAGGCAACTGTGACTGAACAACAATTAAAAAAAAAAAGTTTACCCACTAACACAAGTTGAACACAGAGGCCTCCTGACCCAGCAGTGAATGAAGCCGCCTAGGTCCCAGTAACAGCCGGCCCTGGGTGGACTTTGTTGCGCACCCAGGAGCCTTCCACTTTGATCCCAAGGAGAAAGAGCCCACCTGGGTGCTGCTCTGCTCCCTGCTCAGGGCTCAGAATGATGAGGACGCTGCAGGCTGGCACCCATACCCTCCACCCCCACCCCCAAGGCTGGACCAACAGCTGAGTTCCCTGGCGCTCTGGCTGGAGCTGCTGAGCAAGAAACTGCCAAAGGACTTACAGATGCACCACCACCAGTAACAAGTTATGAAGCCGAAAGGAACTTTTCTAAACTCTTGGCAATAAAAAGCAACCGCTGATTGACCATGCTAGGGGCAAAAGTGATTTGTCTTTCTCTCGTCTCTATCAAAAAATGATACTACAAAGTGCTTGTTGAACAAAGAGGAAACCCAGGGGTATGCCGCAGAAATATGACAGGTGCATCAGACACCTGAGTTATACCATTTTTGCATTATTTTCACATCATTATGCTTTCTAAACTTTGTCCTGTTTGGAGTGTTTGTCGGTTTTTTGTTATTTGTTGTGATACATCTCCTCCCATTTTAAATACAGTTGACCTTGAACAAATGTGGGGCTTAGGGGTGCTGGTCCCCCTGCAGTTCAGAATCTGCACATAACTCCTGACTCCCTGAAAACTTAACCACTCACAGCCTACCGTTGACAAAGCCTGACCAATAACATAAATAATCAATTGCACATATTTGCATATTATATGCATTATATACTATATTCTCACAATAAAGTAAGCGAAGGAAAAGAAAGTGTTAAGGAAATAATAAGGAAAAAGTATATATATAGTATTTATTAGAAAAAATCCATTTATAAGTGGACCTGTGCAGTCCAAACTCGTGTTGATCCAGTACCCATTCCATGCCTAATGTTGTGTTTACCACTTTGCATTCTTTTCTAAAGAGGGCCCTGAAAACTGAATAAGCTTCAGGCCCTAACAACACCTGGATGCTCCCCAAATGAACCGGACCAGGCCTGGGCTAAACACTTTTAACAGGAGTCTCTCAAGCTAAGCCTCACAGCAATCCTGAAGTCGTTCCAGAATTATCCCCACTTTAAAGGTATGAAAACGGAGGCTCAGGGCGGTTAAGTAACTTGCCTGATATCACACAGCATAAAGTGGCGGAGCCAGGATTCAGGTTCCAGGCGCCGGCCCCTGGCGACCACCGTTGTTACCACTCTCTGCTCAGAAAACACGAGAGCCCCCCCGTGGACTCATCACTCAGGTGTCTGGGACATCCTCTCGTTTTGCCTGTCACGATGATCACCTAGTGACTGGCTCAAAGCTAGCCAACCGCAGGCTAGCCTGGCTGAGGGCTGGCTTCCCCTCTGCCCGTCTGGCGAGCACTGGCTCTTCCGCCATGCCAGGCCTGGTGTGGGTCTTCCTCTCTATGTCTGGTAATCCCTCAGCATGGTCAGTGCTGCGGCTTTTTGATGAGGAAACCGAGCTTCAGTGGAGGCTGAGATGGCAGGGCTTGCCCAGAAGGGGATGCCAATTTGAAAAGCAGACCCTCTGACTCCCAGGCCCAGCTCCTGGCAGGGGGCTGATGCTGGAGGTAAAGAGGGAGCGCGCTGCTTTACCCAGAAGCCTCTGAATTGGTGCGCATAGGCCCTGGCTGGGTAGCTCAGCTGGTGAGAGCGCTGTCCCGATACACCAAGGTTGTGGGTTCCATCCCCAGTCAGGGTATGTCCAGGAATCAACCAATAAATGCATAAGTAAGTGGAACAACAAATCGATGTTTCTCTCTCTCTCGCCCTCCCTCTCCCCACACTCTCTAAAATCAATCAATCAGTATATATTTAATAAATAAATTGGTAGACATTACAGAGAAATACTCCCTATTGGGTAAAAGAAACACAGTACAAGTCCTGGGGGGAAAAAGTTCAAGGAAGGCCGTTCTCAGCTCTGTTTTTTTTTTCAGGGCAAACACAGACGGAGGAAGCTAACGAACGAGCAGACAAGTCGCAGACTAAATATGTGGCTAAGCATCGCTCCCGCCGTCACAAACGGAACAACCTGCTCTCCGGGGTCCATGTAGTCATGCCGTTTCTTGAGTCCCTTCAGGAAATCTCAAGCCTGGATCCAGCCCGATTGGCCTTGCTGCCTAGACCAGACACTGTGCGAGGGTTTTCCCAAGAGACATAAGGTAGGATCAGTGAAGGGGCTCCCGCCCGACAGGGCTGCGCATCCACCCACGCACGACGTGGCCCCTGGGCCAGACTCATGCCGGGCTGCACCGTCACCCTGAATCCTGCAGACGAAACCCCAGGCCGCAGCCACAGCCCCAGGAGGTACTGCCAGGGGAAGCAAAATCCACAGGCAGCATCCTGCCAGCTTCCACTTCGAGATCCCATGCCAGGGAGAGGACTTTGGCTTCTTCCAGAACTAGCGAGGGGGGACCAGCAAGAGGTTAAGGGCACAGCGAGGGTCCTCCCCCCCCAGGTGGATCCGTGCCACAGCCAGCTCGAAGTTCCCACTATGACCCCGACATGGCAGAAGTAAATCATTTCAACATTTCACATACCTCATCGTCTGCTGCTCTCCCCGCAGAGTAAAAGGCAAAACAAAGTTCTGTCCAGATCCGTTCTGCAGAAGGAGGCAGGGCTGGGAGGAAGGGAAGGTGCCGTGGTCCAACTCCTGTCAAAAGAATAAACAGCTGTTTCAGGAACACGGGGGCAGACAAATCCCAGAGCAGCCAGGGGCTTTGTTCCTTGCAGGCGCTGGGAAAGGGGCTGTTTATCAGGCCTGTGGACTCAGGCCAAGGGCAGAGATGTTTCTCTCTGGGTCCGTGAATGGCCCACCCTCCTTCAAGTGAAACTGCAGGTCCAGGCTAGGCCAGCTGGTGGTGAAGGGAAGGCCACCACCCCAGAGAGGGACACACAGGTTGCCCCCATCTCCTACTCCTTTTGGGGACTGTTCTGAGCCCAAACAACCCCAACTGACTACTACCAGGAACAGCCAATAGAGAAGTAAAAAAAAAAATTAAAAATTATAAAATATAAAAAAACTTTTAAATGCAGAGGGTTGGGTGAAGTATATTGTCCTTAAGACTCCTGCTGAAATGCTACCTAAATGCTCCTCAGAGTGAAGCTTGTCCTCTACATCCTTCTGCCTTTGGAAGTTATTTTGTTTGAACACTATTTTAATAGAATGTTATGCGATCTCCCGCACCGCAAACCAAGCTATAAGAACTTTAAAAGGTCATGAGGCCCAACCTGGCTCTTTGGCTGAATGACGCTTAACCCTTCCCACACCCACCTTCTGCTCCCAGAACAGAATTTTCCAGCTGGAAGGGACCTCAGAGCAGTGCCCTGTCAAACACCCAACAAAAACTCTTTCAAAAACACATGAAGTCATTCTCAACTCCACTGAGTGAAACAGAGGCCACGGAGGGCTACGGCTGAACCAGGGGGGTGACGCGCAGAGAGCCCCGCGGCCCCAATCCTGGACACCTCACGGGAGTGCAGTCCAGAAACCGCAGGCTGAGAGGGGACAGACACTAAGGAGTGGCGGCCACGTGCGTGCACGTGGAAGATTGTGGGCAGGAAGGTGGCCTGGGGCTGGGCTGCCCGACGTGCTCGTGCCGTTTCTCGGAGCAGCCGGGTGTCTGCAGCGCTGAGGTCTGCTTCCTGGTGACCCCGCTGGCACCCAGCACACACCCCGCCAGGAGGGTGCCGCGTCATCCACAGGGTGTTGAAAGAACAAAGCCTTGGTGTCTGTGAGGGGAGCTACTGGGTGCTCTTCTCCTGCCGCCCTTGGACAGTCACCGCTGTGAGTGCCACAGGAATGACGGCTCTGCGCAACAAGGCAGAGGGCCTCCGGATGGGAGCCTGCGCTGGGCACTGGCCTGGGCCAGCACGCGACGGACGAGTAGCAGTGGGGGCCTCATGACATCGCCCTGTTGTCACACGCGACCGAGCAGGTGTCCCAAGACTAGGGCCTTGCACTAACAAGTCTCTTTATTTTTATATTTTTTTAATTGATCGATTTTAGAAAGACGTGGGGGGGGGGCGGTGCCGGGGAGATCCACACCATGTTCCATTCATCGGTTGCCTCTTCTCTGTGCCCTGACTGGGCATCAAACGCGCAACCTTGGTGTCGCTCTAACCAGCTGAGAAACGCAGCCCAGGCAGAGAGGCCTCCAGCATTTGAGTGTCAGTGATCTGCCGCCGGCCCATGTGTGGAAGAGACCCTCCGCCCGGTGACAGCGCTCCAGTTAGTGGAAGTCCGTGGACAAGTCTGCCCAACCGACTGGACCCCGGACTCTCCGATGCCCGAGCCACCTCCCACTGGCTGCAGAGGACGCTGAGAAGGTAAATCATCCCACCTGCACCTGCAGCGTCACAAAAGAACCGCAGGCGGAACTCATTTTAGCATTTCAAAGATGTTGTGTATAGAAGGCAAAAAATCAATTATGCTTGCATTGGTAAATATTAGTCTAAATTCTTTGTTTTTGTAACACTGACCACAGCTTTTTAAACATAATTACAAAAAAAAACAAACCCCTTAGATCCGTGATCTTGTTGGGATACTACACACAGCGCTGAGAATGAACCAACCTCAGCTACCAAAATCAACAGGGTGGACCTCACACACAGCACTGGGTGAGAGAAGCCGTGGATGTTTCCATTTATTTAAAGTTCAAATGTAGGCAGCCCTGTCTGTGGTGCCAGGAGACGGGATGGGCGTGGTAGAGACTGGGAGACAGCCCAGAGGTACTGGGGGGAGCAGTCATGTTCCGTGAGCCGGGTAGTGAGTGGTTCTGCAGGTACGTCCACTTTGGGCAAACCCACCACCTGTGGGCCTTTTCTGAGCGTAAAGAATAAAAGTGATTGGGAACCTTCCTGCTGAAAGCTGCTTTCCCTTGGACGTGGTTTTCCCAACACTGGCTCCAGGGCCACAAGACCGTGGACGGCCCTGCCTTTTCCTCCACTCGGGTCCTCTGCGCAATGCCAGGCACCACCAAGCACCTCACCAGGGGTCAGGGGAGAGCTGTTGCATTAAACGACCCAGGAAATGTGGACTCATGGTCAATGGGAAGGGAAAGGCAACAGCGTTTGGAGGCTAAGGAGCTGGGCTAAGGTAGAGTGGTCCTTTTGACAAGCAAGCACTGATCGTGGGTCAGAGGGGTCTCCCACTTCACCGTTTACAAAGCAGCCTCTCCTTTATCTCGGTGATCCTCAGCATCACCCACGGGTGGTCAGGGAACACCGGGGGCTCTGGGAGCCTCAGACACTTGCTCAAAGCCACCGGCTGTGGGTGTGGTACTGCTCTTCCCCTCGGCTGCTTCCAGACGACGTTCCACAGGTCCGTGCAATTAGAGACTCCGGGCTGTGTGACCACAGCCTGCAGACTGGAAGTCAGAGAACTGAACTTCTAGAGTTTCCAACGTGATCTTCCTCTTCCCTGGCACTCCCCCATGCTCAGATTCTCAAAACGAAGGAGCCCACACTTGCAGCCATTCCTTAACTGAGGCGAAGAATTGTAGCAAGCGAGCTTCAGCCAGGCAGCTCTGCTCATCAGAGGAGGCGAGAGACTGCCCAGGTGAGTGTGCGGCATGGTGCCCGGCAGCGCTGACCAAGCTCACCATTCGGTGAGTCGCTAAGGCCCCTTCCAGGCCTAACAGCCTGTGGGTCTGTCAGATAACAGCCAGCATTCGGTGCCTGTCTATCTGCCACACACTGAGTCAGAGGATTGCAAGGCCTGGGGGGTTGTAGCCAAAGGGGCTATGGCCTGCGTGCGCCCTGGCTTGGCGTCCCAGACTACCTCCTAATTGAGAGAAATGAAGGTCAAGTGCCCCCACCCCCATCCCCCATACTTACTGCTGTGAGGCTATTTCTTAGCAAAGAACACTACAGACCAACAGGTTGCAGGCGGCCACTTTGTTTAATCCTAAATATGTTTAGGGCACTCACAAAGGCCAGTCTGGCCGATGCCTGCATGTGGTAGAACGCTTTGGTTGGTTTCCTCCTCTGTGTGGGGGGGGCTAAACATCACCCCCACCTCCCGAGGCGGGTGAGGGGGCTGGAGAGTGTGGTGGGTACAGGCACACACTCTGGGCTGAGGCTGGTGGGTTTGAGTCCCTGAGTCCAAGCTCTGCCCCCGAGGCTGGGCCATCCTGGGCTGCTTTTCTCCACTCTGCCTCTACACCTGCAGCCAGGTGCCAGACTGCGGTGGCCACGGAATGGACCTCAGCTGAGGAAGTGATGTCAGTAAGCACAGGGACCTCTTTCTTTCCAGCATGGGAAAGGGCTGGGGAGAGGGTGCCAGCTAGAGAGACCCTGGAGAGAAAGAGAGATGAGCCCCTGCGTGCACTGCTGGCGGCGGGAACCCCTGTTGAGACAGAACCGAGGAGAGGACAGGTGTAGGAGAGCAGCCCTGTGGGGGCGGGGGGAGGGTGAAGCTTCTTCCCCCTGGGAAGCAGGGAAGGAGACAGGATGGGTGGGTTGCTGGTGAGTTTGGGAGAAAAAGCAGGCAGTGGACAAGTTCTAATTAATCCACAGCAGCTGAAGTATGGAGGACAAAACGGGTGGGCTGTAGGGGCGGCAGACAAATGGGGGGGCCGTGCAGAATCGTTACTGGGACCTGGAATCCTCGCTGCGCTGAGGAATCCTTCGGTGACAGGAGGCCAAGGGAGTCACGTGATTTGCTTTATTACAAAAAGTACGTGGCTGCCGGCTGAAGGTGTGTGGGAGAAGAAAAATCTCCAGCCGGGGGGCGAGCCGGCGGGGCTGCTGGCTGGTGTCCAGGTGCAAGAGTGGCGGCCTGAACCAGTGGACTGAGCTGGAAGACAAAGGGGCAGCCGCCTGAGAGAAATGAAGGAGGGGCTTCTTGAGATCTCGGGTTACACGAAATCACTTCTCGTTCACACTTAGCATGTCACCTTCTCGGGTAAGAACTTCCTGGATTTAAAGTGACTTTCCTTTTGTAGTTTAGTTATTTAACTTTTAACTTTCTTTCTCTACCAGAACGTCAGTGGTATGGGTGGATGCTTTTGTATGCTTTGTACCATGTGAAAGTACCTATTACAGCACCTGGCACTCATACACCTTCGCAGGCTAAACACATGCCTCACACAGTACTTGGCACCCAGGCGGCTCAAGACTATGAACTATTTAAAATGGATGGCAGTAACGATATCAACAATAATAGTGAGCAAGGGGACCGAGGGATTCAGACAGACAGAAGTCCAGTCCGGAGCTACTCAAAGTGCGGACCCCGAGTGCATCACCTGGGAGCTGTTAGAAATGCACAGCATTAAGAGCCCCCAGCCTCAGCCAGTAGGGATGCCCAGGGTGGTCCCGGGAATCTGTGTTTGCAGGTCTCCAGGTGGTCCCTGTGCTCCTCAGATTTGTCAGACTCTGCCCTGGGCTGGTTCTCAGGCTCCTGGTGGAAGAAGGGGAGAAGATGGTGTTGCCGTTGGTGGGAACACGGAGTGGAAGGGATTGGGAATGGGGGCAGCTGCTGAGTTCCTTCCTAGATATGTTGACTTTAAAGAACCTGCTGGAGCCAGTTCGGCAAAGGCATCTTAGAGAGACAGCCCAGGGCGCGGCCCGATTTGGAAGTTGCCAGCAAGAGGGCAAGAACTGGCAGGTCTGATCTGTGCTTAATGAGGGCAAGGAGGAGCATCCTTAACG